GTACTAACTTGCCAGCCACACCACACCCACTCCACGCACAGATACAAAAGTACGCCAGCCAGCTCGCAGGCCGTTCCATGCTTGTGAAGAAGCTCAAGATGCTTCCGGTGGAGGCTATTGTGCGAGGTTACATCACTGGCAGTGGGTGGAAAGAGTACCAGCGCAAGGGTACCGTGTGCGATCTGGAGTTGCCTAAGGGTCTTGAGAATTGCTCGAAGCTGGAGAAGCCTCTGTTCACTCCCAGCACCAAAGCGGAGGATGGTCTACATGGTATGTGGTGATGTGATGGGTATGGTGTTGTATCGTATCAACGTATCAGTTATTGGTCATGGGAGTTCGGTGCTCACCCTCATCACGTGAGACGTCGTCGGTCTTCGGACCGTTCACAGCGCTTGAAGTATAACACATGGCGTTGAGTGTCGGTGTGGGACGGTGGTGTGTATAGCCCCTTTTATGTATGAATGACCAGTCACGTTTGGTACGTTTGGTGTATGCGTTAGTGCGCTGCGTTTTTTGTGTGCAGGATATCATGTGCTCATCTCCGCGGTGCTTCTAACGTACCAGCGAATGTAGTCAACCGACTCAGCTCTCTAGAATGCGCACTAGAAGTTACGAAAGGCCAAGATGAACCGCTTGTAGGATGTGTTTGTCAATGGGAAAGCATGTAGATAGTTATGTTATGTTTATCTGTATATGCAGTATACTTGTGTATGTAGGTAACAAGCGAGTGTTGGATGAACCGCTTGTAGGATAGTGTTTGTCAGTGCAAATACATGTATATAGTTATGTGTAGCTGTATTGTATATGTAGTATGCATGTGTATGTAACAAGCCAGTGTTGCGTAGGTGTGTGAATATCCTCATATTCAAATGGCATAGTCCGACATAGCCATAGCACAGTGTATCTCAAGACGAATCATCATGCGCATTCCCCATGGGGAAAGTAATGGAATATCTAGTAAAGTCGAGGAAGCTTGTCTATATATATGTGTGCGTGTGTGTGTGTGTGTATGTATGTATGTGTATAATATATATATGTATATGTACAACATATATGTATATATATATGATGTTGTGCGATGTCTAACATTTAAGACACCCCCGACGCCGCCCATACAACCAGACGAGAATATTCACCCCGACAAATCGGCCCAAATACTTGGAGCGGAGCTGAATCAAAAAGTGGCCGAAACTGCGATCCAAATATATGAGACGGCGAGAGCCTTCGCAGCGGAGCGCGGTATCATCATCGCCGATACAAAATTCGAGTTTGGACTCGACAACGACGGCAATTTAGGTGTGTGCTTTTTGAGCTTCATGTGCTTTGTCCATATCTCGATTGGGTTGATCAACTATATTGGGCCAGCCAAATGGGAAGGGTCTGTGTAGTATCTAGGAGACTAGCACTCAACTGAGGTACGCTTCCTGTCCGAGGGGTGTTCACTGTTGAATTTTCGGCGAGCGAGTGTCTTCTCGCGGGGGCCGTTATGCGTGCTTAATGATGGGCTTATATAATAGCGTATTTAGATAAAGAATATATGTAGGAGTAGCCAATAACGTATGGTCTCTGCGTCAGAATCATTGACTGTTGAAGTAGGTGATACAATACGATACGTGTGTGCCATCTACACTAGATTCCACTTGACCGAATTTGTCACTTTATTTCAATGGAAACTCGCACATACGATGGAAATTGTACCCTTTTTCTGATTCATCGCAGTAGATAGGTATTGGCTGTGCTTCTAAACCAATAGTTCTGATTTATGTGCACACATGTGACTCTGTACCTTCGCAATAGAAGTCGGATGTCTTCTTACGATTGAGCTATAGTTTCTTAAGTTGTTTTCTTCCTTGCTTTCGCAGTGCTTGCAGATGAGGTTCTCGCAATATGAGTCGGAGATATCCCTTCGGTTGTATCTTAAGTCATTTTCTTCATTCCTTTTGCAGATGAGGCTCTCGCAATAGAAGTCAGAAATATCTTTCGCTTGAACTGTAGTTTCTAAAGTTATCTTCTCCATTCCTTTTGCAGTGCTTGCAGATGAGGTTCTGACGCCCGATAGCAGTCGTTTCTGGCCTGCCGATGAGTATACACCGGGAAAGGAGCAAAACAGCTTTGACAAGCAGGTATAGTAGTATTCCCAACGCTTGTTGTGTTATGTAGTTTATATTATTGTTTGAATGCCTTGTCCATGTAAGCTGACGACAAAAATACAAGGATGGTCTACATTGTACATGGCCGATCTAGACAGCCAACTCAAATAATCTTTATCTCTCTCTCACTCTCTCTCGCATAGTTCATCCGTAATTACCTGGAAAGTATCAACTACGACAAAACAACACCCGTCACCATACCCGACAATGTGATCACTCGGTCGCAACAGAAGTACCTGGAGGCTTTCGAGATTATCACCGGCAAAAAACTTAGTACATAATAAAACTCAAATATAGTATCACTGAATAAAAGTGTCAGCAAGCTGATAACTTGAACGGACATTGTCCAA